TTCGAAAACTGTTACTGTAATTTGCTCGAGTAAGTTATACTAATTCAACGTAGCAAATTTGTAAACAGACATTCTTGGTGATCGAACACCAGATTCAAGTGCTGCACTGTTGAAAGATTGAGATCACTTCTATGAAAAGGAAATTAGACATTCTTGATGATCGAACAACAGATGATATGATTGGATAAACCAACAAGTTAGGCTAAAAATCATTAAAGCTCAAAAACTGTCACTATGATCGATCTACTTGAGTAAGTTATACTAATTCAACGTGGCAAATTTTGAAACAGACATTCTTGGTGATTGAACACCAGATTCAAGTGCTGCATTGTTGAAAGATCGAGATCACTTCTGTGAAAACGAAATCTGATAAGTTTCATGATTGATAGCTCAACTTCCAACAATGACATGCAGAGCAATCTATAAAGCAGAACTAGTGGACCATATACCTTGCATGTCTTGAATAATAAAGCTTTTCCTTTTGATAATGACAGTAGATGTTTTGGAGTCCGCGAGCTGGGATTTGTGCATTCATGCTTGTTTCCTTGGATTCAAGAAATAAAGAATTCATAGAGCTACTGACTTACTACGGGTACATACACCGTCATTTTAGAAGGTTGCGACAATTGTACCAAGCAGGGGGCATGTCACGCCCCGTACCCCACGAAGCGGGAGCATCCCACCTGCGATCGATAAGTTGGCTGCGACGTCCCAGGAAGCGTCGTCGACCCACACCCAACAGAGATCAAGCACAAGCGGAAGCATAAAATCAACAAACCCAGACACTACAATATGAGCCGAGGATAGCCATCTAATAAACAACGATCAACTCAGAAAATATGTACATACTTATATTACTATTTTAAAACTCTTTTTACAGTGTTCATGACAACCAAAAAGGAAACACCAACAGCTGGGAATAACCCAAACAGCCACTTCTCCGTTCTACTCCATCCCCACCGGGGTGCATGCTCGACGACTGCTGGATAAAATGCGATATTCCCAAAAAGAGGTGGTGACCTCGGCATCCTACTGCTGGGGGTCTGAAAATGTTTCGGTTTACACAACCGTGAGACGAATCTCAGTGAGTTCAACCCCTAAACCTAGGCTAGGCTAGCATGCAATCTCCTGACCGGAAACAAACATTTAAAATCATAACACAACCATAATCATACAATTCTCTGACCCTGCAGGTTAGACAGTTCAATATGTAATAATCACGGGACATACGTGGCACACATTATCACACGTACGCCAATCACATGCTCATACACCGAGTCTCACACACTCGCATGCTATTCAATGCATGTTTATGCATGCAAATGTCATTGACATGTCATGCACATTTCTTTGGCCCACTGGCCCACACTGGCACACTTGCCCAATTAATTATTATTACGACTCGAGTCATCAATTTTTCATGGCCCGGTGCGTCTAGCCTGCTTCAAAGTGCATGAGGCGCAGCAACCGATCCGGCCCGGTGTCTCTAGCCTCGCTTCAAAGTGCATGAGGCGCAACACATTCTCCTTGCGAACCGCAGCCTGCTTCAAAGTGCATGAGGATGGTCGTCTTCCGGACGTACCGGGCATCGTCCTGCTTCAAAGTGCATGAGGACAGTATCGACCCGAAGGTCCTTAGGTGATCACACAGCTCATTATTATCTGAACCCAGCGTATAACGCTTCAGGGTATTTTAGGTGATCACATGCTCATGGCAGACACGCATGCTCGCACAATTTCATCACATGCCTCACTCTTGGCATACGCAATGCGTGTCCATGTTATGCAATGCAATGCACCACGAGCACCAACATAATTTGGACACCCAATGTCACAACACGTGCTTAATTGGCCCAATTAATACCGTGTGGCCAAACGTGCGATTCACAAATCAGCAATTCATTGAAACCAAACAATGGCCAATCGCACTCCACAAAATCAGCCAAACAACATACGACATAGCAGTACGAAATCAACCACAATTAAGCACAATTGACGTACAATCAGTCAACCCGGGTACACCCGGCAATTTCACCAACAAGCTCCTAAATTGATCATTAAACCCCATTTTCCTCCCCAATAGTTCTCATTAAACCACTAAATTTTTCCGATAATAAATTCTACTAATCGGTCCTCAACCCAGTCTCAAATACACATTGTTATTATCTAAGCCAGTCCAAAATGCACCGATAATACCTAAACCAGTCCAGGAAAAACGCACTATCAGTCCTAATCCGGGTTTAGGAATTTTACTCACCTAATCCGAAGTCACGACGACGGGGAATGGCGACCGATCACTGGTGAACAGTGAAACCGGCGGCGAAATTCCCGACGGGCGGCGGCGCGGTGTACGGACGGGTGAACAGTGGTCCCCCGTACGGACACTGTACGGACCGGCTGGGACGGTGGCCGGCGAGGCGCCGGTCACGGCGGCGACGGCCGTACGGTCTGGATGAACAGTGATCGTACGGGCGCGTGGAAATGCACTGCACGGTCTCTCGTACGGGCGGGCCGAACGGCGACGTATGGACGTGGCTTGGAGGCCCGGGTGTCGACGGACCAGCGATCGGAGCTCCGCGAAGCTCCGTGATCTGTTTGTAAAACGGAAAAATGAGAAAAGAGGGAAAAACGAGAGAGAGAGAGAGAGCTGTTTTTGGACTATACCCGGGTGTGGTGGCCGCACGAGGTGGAACTAGTTGCTGGTGGTTACGGCTCGGCGGGGACAAGCCGGTGAGTCTGTTCGGCGTGAACAGCACGGATGAACAGAATGCAATCCACGAAGAAGATGAAACAATGAAGAAGAAGAGGAAGAAGGGAGGTCTCGGCAGAATGGCTGGAGCAGAGAGAGAGGGTCTGGTCAAATGGGTCAAAGATGGTCTTAGTGGAGTTCAAGTGTCATTATCTAAGCCCATTTGACAATTTTACCCTTGATCTAATGGACTAGATTTGATCAAATCCAATAATTTAGGGATAAAATGGTCTTTTGTCCCCAACCATGGTTGACCAGACCTGGTTTAACCTTAACTCACCTTGGTTAATCCCAAAATTAAATCCAATTTTCGGAATTAATCAAAAATGGCCTAGGGGCATTTTCGTAATTTTCCGATCCCGAACCGAAATTCCAATTTTCGCACATACGCGTTCCATATATGCGTGGCCAACATGATATGGCGTCGGAATCGCAAAATTCATCGCGCAAGCCCTCGAAAATCCACGTCAAAATTTCGGGAATAAAATAATATTATTTTTCCAATTTTCGTCGAAATTCCAATTTTTGGCCAAAATGACTCCTGGTATGCGTGGCCACCCAAAAATGGCGTCGGCCACGAAAAATAACCTCATTTGGCCTCGAAAAGCGACGTTGGCATCCCGGGGGCAAAATCGTAATTTTTCACCCCCGGACCGAAATTCCAATTTTTACTCGTACTAACTCCACATGTGTGTGGCCAGCGTAATATGACGTCAGATCCCCAAAAATAGTCTCTTAAGCCTTCGAAAATCGATACCGAAATCCGGGCCAAATTCCGTAAACAAAACCCGCTAAACTTTCAATTTCAGGGTCTCTCACTAACGGGCGGCAGTTTAGAGATTACGCATATCGACCTAGGGCTACCCGTATCGTAATGGTCTCGATCATTGAGAGAATGAGAAATTATCACTAGCCCCAGAGGCTACGATCGTTCGGTTTAGGTTCAGGACTGATTGGCCACGTGCACTTTTCGGTCATGCAGATTCACCTGCGATCCGAGTGTACAACGTTGGCCTTGGCCAAACCAAATCCGTTACCTTTCCTAAGATCGGCCCACATCGGTTCAAAATATTCCCTTAGCATCTCTCGCGATCGGTATCCGTTTCACGATAGGGTCCCCGGTCCACGTACCGCTTTCTAGTTAGCCATGCCCCATTGGTTAGTATTCCGAGAGCGATCAGCTCTGGGCGAGACTTACTAAAATGAAATGCGAATAATATCCGTTTTATTGATCTCGGATTTACATCGAAATTCGGGCCGTTACAGGGCACATGGCATGAAGGATATGCTATTCTGGTCAAGACATGTTCGGACACAAGCACGAGTTCAGCTCAAATCTAAAGGTCTAGATTCTCCGTGATAATGAATGCATTTCCCCATAATGATGCACATCTATCTCCATCATCATCTACTTGCCTAGCCCCTTTTGAGTGGTCAAGATAACACGTTCAAGCATAACTGTGGATTCTCACTGTGTAGCTGATATGCGTTACATGAGAGCACAGTTGCGCATCCATTAGCCTTTCCACCTTCACTGAACCATATTTTGAAACCTGCGCCAGGAGAACAGAGAAAGAAAACCAGGTATCAGATGAACATTTATCATTTTGTGCTAAAAGAAATGGAAACTGATGCTGCAATAGTTCCTAGCCTGAAATTTGTAGGAACCGCATTGTGCCTGTGTTATCCCAAAAATGCCTTTAGCCTAAGGGAGAGGAGCGATCTCCTACCAAAATTAAAATGGAACAAAAGACATTATTCCCACAAATAAAACTCACTGCTTGCAGGGATCTATCATTTTAAAATTTATGAAAGAATTCCGAAGAGTGAGAACATATGATTGGTACTGGTATAAGGGGAAATGTTGACGAAGGCCATGCCAATTGACATTGACATATTGCATCCACCAGTAGATCCATATATCTGGTTCTCTCCATTCAACCTCCCAGAGAATGAAAAACTTGAAAGAAAACTGGAATATGCAGAACAACAGGTTGAGCAAGTAAAATGGTTCTGCCAATTCTGTAACAGTGAGAACATAAGTCTCCACATAATTATAGGAATAGTAGTGCCTCATCCCAGATATAAGTACGAACCTTACCAGCATCATTTCGGCCCAAATCAACCAGCGTGATGTGTTCTGCCTGTTGCTTTGCATCATTTAGCAGCTGGACTGTATTCCGGCCATGTTGCCTCATGAGGATGAAGAGACTGCTGAGAGCCATGACACCAACAACTCCACCAATGTAGTCTATATACATCAAGTGGAAGTGGTACCCTCAAAAACAAAATCCACGCTTTAGTGAACTTCAATTTTATCTTCTTAGCTATTTTGGTGGCAGACAGTACCTAAAAAGATATTGAACAGAGAAGCAAATGCCCGTTTTCTACAAGTAGAAAGTCAGCATACAGATCCCTTTGAATATTTAAAAGGAAGAGGCATATCATGAAAATCTTAAAGGGCAGTAGCTTAACCAGTAATACATACAGAAGATTCATGCTTTTCACTTTTAGGCTTTTCAACTTCTGGTTTTAAAGACTCGGACGTCCTCTACCATCACCTGTTTTTTGAACCAGAGAAATTTTGAATATAGCAGCAAGAAAGTATGAACATCCTGGTGAACATGCAGCAATTACCTGAACCACTCCTCATCTCGCAATCAGGTTTTTCATCCAGGCTGTCCAGAGGAGGGACATGTGATATGATGTAATGAATCGTACTAATTGAGCGCTCGATGCTGCAGCAAGTGGTAAATCAATCACAAAGGCAAGCTAATTGCTCCTAGACACTAATTATTATTCTGTTCTTAAATTCTAAGCATTTTCTTTGGCATGTAGAAATTTATCAACAATTTGATGCTTAGTTAATTACCCAGGAACCCTTTCCAGTTATAAATCTATAAATATCTTCCTGAGCAACTACTACGACTGTTGGTATACTCTATACTTTGTCTATAAATCATATAACTGGGGTTAATTTCCATGGAGATGTGTTGAAACTTGAAACTTGAAACCGAAGAGCAACCAGAAGATATAAGATTATGAAACCAAGAGAAAAAGAAAATATCAAGATAAGAAGCTCTTCATTCAAGTAAGAAAAAAGAAAATGATGTGAACCACCGAAAAGGGTGATCATAAAACCTATTTCTTTTCCGATTCAGTCATATTTTCCCAGGGAGACAATTTGTGATGGTGCATGACATTATGCAGAGGTCTGTAAATGCTATTAACACCTCTAACATCAAGATGAATGTCAGACAATGTCACTACAAGCTAAACAGCTAAACAGACACCAGTCCCGCCACAATAAGGAACTGCGAGACTTTAGGCTCAAAAGGATAGCTTTCAACTCCCTTCCATCCTTTCCATCAGCAAAACTTCTGTCGTCTGATAGGAAGAGTACAAAATAATGACGAAAATACCAGAAGCAGCATTGGTACCACAGATTTAAAGGAGGAGCACCAAGTACCTCTCATATCTTTTAGTCTCCAATTTCCTGGAAAGCTTTTCTAGTGTAATGTACGTAAAGTAACTGCACCAAGAACATAACAAAAAGTGAACAGAGTATAATTGGCAACAGGAAACAAATGACACCGAAAAATAACATTTTCAATTTAGCAAAATTTTGGTTATCTTCCAACGAAATTTTATCACTTGTTTGCCCTTAACCAAAGAGTGAATGAAAGTTGAACTGTTAAAACACCTGTGTCACTGGCAATATAATGCCTCTTTCAAAGATTAGAAAATAATTGTGATGCCATTCTGTCTTTGCCATCACTGGCAATATGATGCTTTTTTTTTCAAAAAATCAGTAAATAACTGTGATGTCACTTAAAGGTTGATACAACAAAATGAGAAATCTATCTCCAACTCCAAGCATGGCAAAGAAGACGGGTACGAGCAGCTTATCAGTGCATCATACCGCACGTCAATGTACTTTAAGTACTTCGACGAAAGCAATTCCAACCGAAAACACAACTATTGTAGAAGAATAGACCTGGAAAAGGAAGCGGTTGAGTACCGCCATGAATCAAATTATAGAAAGATGGATTGCCAGAACACAAACATAGAGAGATAAAAAAAAATATAGCTTACGATGCTATTTACAAGCTGGTAGTAAATGGCTGATTGAAAGGGAAAAGTGCCAAAAAAGTCCTAAACCTTTTGCATTAGTGCCAATTTAGTCCTAAACCTTTTTTTGGTGCCAATTCAGTCCTAAACCTTTTGCATTGGTGCCAATTAAGTCCTAAACCTTTTAAATTGGTGCCAATTCAGTCCTAAACCTTTTGTTTTTGTGCCAATTTAGTCATTCCGGTCAATTTTGACCGGAATTTGCTGACGTGGACGGCTGCCGGCGGCGACCGGTCACCGGCGCCGACGTGGGGCTGACGTGGACAAATTAAATAATATTTTAATATTTTTTTGAATTTTTATTTTTTTCCTTTTTTTTCTTTTTTTTTCCACTTTTTTTTTTTGGATTTCTCCTTCCTCTGGCCGGTCGCCGGTCCGGCGATCGGCCAGAGGCCAGAGGCCGGCGAGCTCGACCTCGCCAGCCACTGGGGAGGGCGGCCTCGCCGGGCGAGGGCTCGAGCCTCGCCACTTCGCCCGACCTCGCCCGGCGCCGGCGAGGCCGGCCTCGCCGGATCCGGCGAGTCGGGCCTCGCCCGACCATGGCGAGGCTCGCCCTCGCCGCGGCCTCCCGGCGAGTGCTCGAGCCTCGCCATGGTCGGGGAGGCCCGACCTCGCCGGATCTGGCGAGGTCGAGCCTCGCCCGACCAAGGCGAGGCTCGGCCTCGCCGGCGAGGCCGCCCTCCCCGGTGGCCGGCGAGGTCGAGCTCGCCGGCCAGCAGCCTCTGGCGATCGCCGGACCGGCGACCGGCCAGAGGAAGGAGAAAGCCAAAAAAAAATGGAAAAAAAAAGAAAAAAAAGGAAAAAAATAAAAATTCAAAAAATATTAAAATATTATTTAATTTGTCCACGTCGGCGCCACATCGGCGCCGGTGACCAGTCGCCGGCCGGCAGCCGTCCACGTCAGTAAATTCCGGTCAAAATTGACCGGAATGACTAAATTGGCACAAAAACAAAAGGTTTATGACTGAATTGACATCAATTTAAAAGGTTTAGGACTTAATTGGCACCAAAAAAAGGTTTAGGACTAAATTGGCACCAATGCAAAAGGTTTAGGACTGAATTGGTACCAAAAAAAAGTTTAGGACTAAATTAGCACTAATGCAAAAAGTTTAGGACTTTTTTGGCACTTTTCCCCTGATTGAAACCTACCCCCTTTTTCCCATCTTCACGAACTCCATTATTGCATCCAACACAATCTCCAATCCTCACAGTGTGGAAAGAAAATCAGGTACACAACGAAGGAAGATAACACCGACGATATCAACTCTATAAATCTAAAACAGCTCAAGCAGAATCCCCAAGAAAGAAACAACAAAAAAATTCTATAGGAAAAGGAAACCAATCGTTATCTTCGATGGTGTCGCCGGAACTATGACAAACCAATTAATTATCGAGAACGGACCGATTAATTATTTAATCGAGAAATGTTGTTTCCCTTGAGAAATTAGTCGTGAGTCCAGAAAAACTCCCCCACAAGTCATCTACAAGAATTAAACTGAGGATTGTTTAGTGGCTCCAGTGCCTCAGTGTTGAAGGGTTTTTATAGATTTCAGATTTGTCAATATTGTTGACATGCTTGGGTTTGCTTTTAATTTACCGAAAGGGGAAGATATGTGTTCTTTCTCTTCTTATTGACCAGTAGGAACCTCTTCGGAGGAAGTGCCAGTTTGTAACATTCGGCTATTTATAGATATGATGTGCTAGATCTTGTCTACGGCTTTCCTTACCTTGCTCGAACTTAAATTAAGAAGTTCCGCTGAATGCAACGTGGCCAAGTATTGAAAATGGGAGCATTCCTAGATTTCCTCATGGTCCAAAGAGTGGTCTTAACCCTGCCTGTACTAACGGAAGAGTTGTAAGCCGTTTCCATATGCTGAAGAAAGGTTGATTGGCAAATCCTTGTTGGGTCGCTGATGACGAGCGTTTTGGAAGAATATACAGGCAAAAGAACCCATAAGATAGGTAGTAAGCAATTGACCTGATTTTAAACGATCCCGTTTGTTATGGAGGGCATTTTATATCGAAAGCAACAAAGTATAGGTGCTAATTTGTGCCCGTGGTTTGACCCTTACCCGGTTGAGCTGGTTGAATATTTTTGTTTTTTAGTCTGTCTTACATTTAACTCTCCTCACTTTCTGACTTTTGCCCTGCCTTTTACAGAGTGCGGGAGTCGAATCCCGCACCTATAATACTAGCGTCCCCACCCCCGATTACTTTACCAGCAGGGCCGTCGACCATGTTTTTTGAAAAAGACTAGTCACGGCCACACAAGGTGCAGGTAGCAGCATTAGTGATTGCACACTCAAACAGATATCGTGAGTTTTGGAGAGTGGTCCTAACTCTTAGGACTCCACCAAACCGAATAGTTTCCGCAAGAGCATTGACATTCCCATAAAGAAAAGGTAATTTCAAGATTGTCTTGGATGCATTTCTCTTAAGTCTTTTTTAATTTAGGAAAACTGCTCTTATTAATGTATCAATCAGCAGAATGTTTTTAACTAATGTGATAACATATCGATAAATAATTTTTTTTCGCCTCTTATGAAATGTCAAACTAGTTAAAAATGTTTCCGATTAATTTTATGGTTCACGACCGGACCGGACTTGATGCAAATGTCCTCAAGAGCATTGTGATATATAGCACGATTTTGTAGCAATAGCATCTCCAGAAAGGTTGAAGTTCAGAAGCAAAGATGATAGGCAAAGCGCCATTCCTTATATTTTTACATGTAAGTTCCATTTCTCGAATATTAAATTCTTCTCTCTTTCTTATCAAAAACAAAAGAAATTGCATCTGTTGATAAGTAAGAGCGCAAACCACAGAAAGGTTGAAGAATTTGTGTTTCGTCTCACTGATCTGCAGCACCATTGGAAGAAGATAGGCGCAGGAAAGTTGAGCAAGACATTCGACCTAAATCCAGTGGCATCCCAAGCTAGATATTGCTAATTGATTCATTAGCTTTGTCAAGATGGCACGAGGGTGGGCCCATTGAGATCGTCACGCGACTAGTAAGGGAAGAAATGCCGAGCGCGAGTCCTCGCTGCGTTTGGTTGTCTAGATTTTTAGCCATTATAGGAATGGATTTGATAGGATAGGATATGAAATCCAAGAATTTTGTCATATCCTATCCACTGTTTGGTTAATCACAGTAATAAAGTTGGATATTTTCATATTTTATAACGTCAATTGTTTGTTATTTACGACATATCAATATAAATGAATTTGAAAATGCACAAATGAATATTATAAAAATCTCTCGTAATTCACTGCCAAGTCTAGTAAGAGAGTAAAAATATGATCATTCACTTTTGTGATTATGAAAAGTATAGTATTTGCACTCCCTTGTTACTTTTGTGAAACTTCGACATTAACCACAAAATTATGGAGAAGTTTCGACTCTCTTGCTGCTTTTGTGGACTTTTGACATGAACCGGAGAGCTGTGAATGAAAATAAACTTATACTCTCTCGCTAGTTTCATAGAGCTTTGACGTGAACTAAAAAACTACGGAGGAGTCGTGAAGCTTCAACATGAATCAAAGATATATAGGAGTAGGAGACAAGAGAGGGTAGGTTTTTTTAGAAATTTCATTG